ATGCAATAGGCTCTAATTCAGGTATAATTTGCATATGAGTACTATTGTATTTGGTAACATTTTAATGATTTTCTTTAAGTATTTGTTAATTAGTGATATGAAATTTCAAGGATTAGTTTGTAAATTTTGATAAATGGACACCTTTTGTTTTCCCAGTTACGGTTGGTACTTCACATTTGTTCAAGGATTTGTCTATATCTTTCTCATTTATCTTCAAGGTTTCACCACTAAATAGATGATGAATCCATGGAAGACTTATGTGAAGCTCTCTCCAGTCTTAATGGGTTCTCATGGACTTACCAAAGATTCTTTGGCTTTCTTAACTATCCAGCACAACTCACGTTCAAATCCACAAAGGTAAATATTTAACTCCATTACTTTTTTAATTTCATGTTGAAAAAAATAACGATTTTCCTTACTAGATGTTTTGATAACTTTAGTTTTTGTTTGATAGTCAAACTAGGTCTCTTAATCTATACTGGTGTAAATGATTCAAATTAGCTCATTGACTCTTGCAATGTGAATCAAGTAAACTAGATCAATTTGGCTATAATTGGAAATTTATTTTGTCGTCTTAGGTTTTGCCTGTAATGGTCATGTGCACATTCATACCGGGCCTTAGACGAAAATACCTGGTTCATGAATATGTATCTGCAATACTTTTAGTTGTGGGGTTGATTCTTTTTACCTTAGCAGATGCACAAATTTCTCCAAATTTCAGTATGATTGGTGTTATAATGGTATTAGGTGATCTAATCATGGATTCGTTTCTTGGTAATTTGCAAGAAGCAATCTTCACCATAATCTTGAAACCACCCAAGTGACTATACTATGCTCTGCTTTTGTGACTTTATTTGGATATCATCTTACTTTGTGACTTCTGTTAGTTTTATTCTTAATTGTTCTATTTCATTTATTTATTGTTCAATTGGTGACTGTAAAGAAGATATCTATCATTTTTACAGCTATCGAGAACTGGATTTCTCAAATTTCTAGCTTTTGTGGTTTTAAATTTCAGAATTAGATTAATTTGAGCTAGAAAGGCCTGATTTATAGTCAATAGACTCATCAAATTCAGTTCCAAGTCTTGTAAATATCACAGGTTAGGAGTGTTAAAATCACATATAACTTGAATTTGATCTTTAAAGTTACTAGATCATTGGAAGCTAATTATGTGTTTGGTGTGCACAGATATTGCTGAAGTGTACTGAATAATTTAAGTCTGAGATTTTGTGAAATTTGGTTGTTGAAAGATGACAATTGCAAATAACTTACTGAAAAGAGAAGAAATCCAGGAGGAGCAAACAAAGTTTTATTGTACAACAAATTTTGTTGGGATGGCGTATAAACTTTACAGAAATTAAGATTAGTTTTGGTATTACATAACACTAGAGAGAATAGAATAACAATGTTACAGTTACTTTGATTGAAATCAAGAATTAGTGTATTGGCATGGCACATTTTCCTTGGTCTCTACACATATGGGTTGGCTGTGGCAACTGTAGAAACATGTCTTTTAGAGAAACTAACATTTTTACGAAGGAGAAGTGTATCTAAATGATGTCCAGAGTCCATGGTTGTTAATAGTTTAGGATTGGGGTTAGCCTTGCTTAGTGGTATTATAATATTCGCGGCTATTTCACCCGAGTACCATGTTCACCAACCTAAACTCAAGTACTCAAATTCCAAGGTTCTCTTCTTAATAAAAGAAGAGAAAATGATAGATTGAGATAATAAGATTGAATTGTAGAAGTTAGAATTTGTACAGTCCTTTGTCAAAGCATATTTCCCACCTATGACAATAACTACACTCGGGCCGTCCTCCCCTGCCACCATGATCCCCCTATTCTCCTTTAACAAAAGTTTGAGACTGAGAGGCCATGACAGAAGAACCAACTGGGGAAGATCCAACCACAACACCAGGGGAGGAGACTCGAAGTAATCGAGCAAAAATGTCATGAAGAGAAGTCACAGTAGCACTTGCCAGAATCTGATCTCGTACAAGAGTGAGAGCAGGATTAATAGCGGTAAGAGTAAGAACCATAAAGAATTTGTCTCGTTGTGCTAGATCTGCTGCTTCAGATTTGCCAACAGGTAATAATAAATTCAATTTTGCCTTGAGAGAGGCCATCCAGCCAAGAAAGTTGGACATGCCCATATCTTGTTGTTTGAGATTAACTAAATTGGACATGACAGAATAAAGTCTCTGGATATCATTAGTATAAAGCAATTTGGCCTGTTGCCATATATCAGAACATGTTCGATATATTTTATAAGTAGAATGAAGGTGAGGGTCAATAGACTGCCATAATAAACCACATATCAAAGCATCTGTCTTTACCCAGGTAGTTTTATCATCCGTAACATCTTTAGCTTTAGTGGTCAAGTGATCCTCTAGACCATGTCCCATACACCACAGTTCAACAGAGGCAGCCCATGAGGAATAATTAGAGTTGCCTATTAATTTTTTAGTCATGATTGGAGGAAAAGATAAGAAAGAAACAGAACCTGATTTGGTGTTGGATCCTAAAGGGAGCATGATTGTGCTGTGGGAGAGACAAAACTGATTGGATTATAGGCTGAGTACAAAACTGGTTATGGGCAGATCAAAAAAAGGAATATTCTGGTGGTAGTGGACTATTTTCGGCACCAGTAAGGGCAATGCAGGTCAGACAGTGGTGGGTGTGCTCGCTGGCGGTGTCTGAGTGCATAAGTGCTGGCAGTGAGACCTCACGCGTGCTAGAGAAAGAGATTAGAGAATAAGCTACCAAAACAAAGACCGGCACGTGCGACGACAACTAGTGATGAAAATTTCAAGTTTTGCCATTGAGGAGAAGACGAACAAGCTGGTGTGGTCAGAGAATGATGCAACACCAGAAGGAGATAGATTGAACTTCACCGAAAAAAATAGTTGCTGGAAAAAAAAAAATTATTTCTAGGATTTCTGATTTGGCTCTGATACCATGTAAAAATCAGAAGAATTTTCTATATTACTATCATGAACACAATACAACAATTTATACACATTCAATAATCCAAATAAGGGAATGAAATAATCTAAACTAGGAAAGGGTTGATCTAATTTCCTATTCTAAAGATCCTATTCCTAAAACGTATGATCATATTCCTGAAACGGTTGATTTGTACAACTCAAACGATTTGTACCAACAATGCCTGTTTTCACTTTCTATTTTCGGAATGGAATATTTACATAATCCCCATGAATAGGATTAAATGTTATTCCATGGTATTTGTATGATATTCCTTCTTAATTTTAAGCAAGTACTTGAGAGTGTTTAAGTGATCTATGCATTATGTTTCTTTTTTCATTTATTTTATGTACTAAGTCACTAAGTGCGAGATTCCCCCTGACGACCATTATTAACTTGTTCCCCTATGGGCTCTTTCCCATGTCGCCTCTGGGAATCAACTTGTCTTCTAACTTCACTCCCATGAGTCTCATATTTGGAATTTGCTAACCCATTTCTCATGTTTGGAAGGGTTATTATACAAGTTTGCACCAAAGGAAGTAGAGAGAAATCCAAGATTGCCATTAGACTTGGTAAGTGATTTCGTGATTTTAGTGATTACGCTTTGGGATTGCGCAGATATTTATTCGTTCTTATCCCTCCCGAGATGTTCGAGATAAGCTTATCCCTTAGTCTATTGAGTAGCTGTATTGGACGGTCACGACGAGGTTATGCTGAGTAAGACTTCAAGATTCCATGACCTTAAGATCACATCGATCTACTGTTTTTCAGGATACTGAGACTTTCAAGCTTACGAAAAAAATCACACACAACATATATTAAAGTAGAGGTCATGATTTGAATCTCTCATGTATTACATCCTACTATATTTAGGTTGGTCTTTCTGTCTGAATTTGGGCTTGGTTTATGTAACATGTGAAGATGCCTCTTACAAAGCTTAATACCTTTTTTAGCTTAAGCTTTTAGGTCAAGTTGTTTATCAACAAAATTGTTCTTGAAATTTCGTTATAATTTCAATTTCTTATGGTCTTTCTTGCTTTTAATATAAGTAATCAGTTTATTGATGCTTAAAGTTAAATGTTTTGCACTTAAATAATATTTTTATAAAGGAGATTAAATTAATAGTAATCATTTTGATTAAGCATTATTGAAGTTATAAAAGTAGTTGTGTTCTCGATTGACATAAGAAAATTTTAATCAATAAGCAAATACTGATTATAAATGTTTAACATTAAAATAAAGGGATTCCCTTGTAATTAACTTGGCTTCTATGAGCATCATGATTAAACATTATTAAAATTATCTCATAAAATTTGTGGTTCATAGGATTAAGATGGAAAATTTAATCAATAAGCAACAAACGAATGTTAAATAAATACATATTGATCCATCCACTACCATTGAATAAGAGAAATTAATTGAAAGAATTAGCATGTCAAAACATTGAGAGAAAAGTTCAAGATTCTATCTCATATTTCATTAATTCTCTCGCAAAATAAGATGTGCTAAAAAATTAGAATAGAAAAGTTTTATACCTATAAAAATTTTCTCTCTTCTAATTGATTCCATCTATTATTGGAAATATAGTCTCTAATGAACTTCAAATCTGACTTCGCTGCCTCATGGCACACCTCTAATAATAGTCTCTAATAAACAACACAAAAATTGATCTTATAAATGAAGAAGTTTTAACTAGAAAGGGATATGGACCTAATGTTGTTTGCTACAATACTTTAATTAGATGGTATTGCAAGAATAAAGAAGTCAACGAACTTCTTAGTTAGTCTCAGTAGTCTCCCAGTCCAGGTCAAAGTTCAAAGTCACCTAGTTTCCTATAGGTCAGCCTAGTCTTATAAGAATGAGTCAATCTCGTAGTTAGCCTAGTCCAAGTTAGGTTCCTGTAGGTCAGCCTAGTCCCATAGGGATGAGTCAGTCTCATAGTCAGCCTACCAATTTAGGTCCTACTCTAACTATATAGCCCACTCTTGAGAAACCAAACTCTTAGGAAACATGGAACTAGGGGGAGGTCTGGAGAGATTAAATCAGCCAGGTCTGCAATTTTATTCTTGAAGAACTAACTATCAAAGTGGAAGGAAACCTAATGATCTGCATGAGCAATCATCCCAATTAGGAGAAACTAGTGATTCACAGTCACAAGGTAAGGAAGAACTATCTTTTGATGAGTCTAAATCAGGGCATGATGATTTACATTTACCTATTGCACTAAGGAAGGGTGTTAGATCCTGTACTTTTTTCATCTATTGTTAAGTATGTGGCATACGATAAGTTGGCATATGATTTTTTGGGATTCACCACTAATCTCTCAACTGTGAAGGTTCTGGCACCGGTACATGAGGCATTAGGGGATGAAAAGTGGAGGAAAACTGTGATAAAGGAGATGGAAGCTCTTGAGAAAAAACAAGACTTGGTAGTTGGTGAGTTTACCTGAAGGGAAAAAAATTGTGAGCTGCAAATGGGTGTTTACTATTAAGTATTAGGCAGATGGAACAGTTGAAAGGTATAAGGCAAGGCTGGCGGCAAGGGGATTTACGCAAACCTATGGAGTAAACTATGAGGTGACCTTTGCTCCGGTGGCTAAGTTGAACACTATTAGGGTGCTCGTCTCTTGCAACAAATCTAGACTGGCCTTTACAACAACTAGATGTGAAAGAACGCGTTTTTGAATGGTGAACTTGCAAAAAAGGTATACATGGAAATGCCACTAGGGTTTGAAGGGAGTGGAAAGGACGGAAAAGTGTGCAAATTGAATAAATCATTATATGGCCTAAAACAGTCTCCACGAGCTTGGTTTGAAAAATTTACAAAGGTTGTTAAGAGGTATGGTTTTACTCGGGGGTAGAATGATCATACATTATTCCTTAAAACCTTTGTAGGTAAGATTACTATTCTAATTGTTTATGTAGACGATATTATTATTACTAGAGATAGTTTTGAAGAAATGGAGGCTATTAAGAAGGTTCTTGCTCAGGATTTCGAATTGAAAGACTTGGGGCAGTTGAGGTATTTTCTTGGTATGGAGAGTGGTAGGAGTAAAAAGGGAATTTCAGTTTCACAGAGAAAATATGTGCTGGATTTACTGAAAGAGATAGGTATGCTAGGTTGCAAGCCAATTAAGACTCCCATTGAACCAAATATGAAATTTGAGAAAATGAGTTGTGATGCTCTGGTTGATAAAGGTAGGTATCAAAGGCTGGTTGGGAAGTTGATATACCTATCTCATACAAAACTTGACATAGCCTTTCCAGTGAGCGTAATGAGTCAGCATATGCATAACCCACAAGAGAAGCATTTTGAGGCTTTGACTAGGATTCTAAGGTACCTTAAAATGACCCTTGGGAAGGGGTTGTTTTTTGGTAAAAAGAATGAAAGGACGGTAGAAGCATTCACAGATACGGACTGGGCTGGTTCTGTGGATGATAGAAGATTGACCTTAGGTTATCGCACTTTTGTTTGGGGAAATTTAGTAACCTAGAGAAGTAAGAAGTAGAACGTGGTAGCTAGAAGTAGTGCTGAGGTTGAGTTTCGTGCTATGGCTCATGGGATTTGTGAATTAATATGGCTAAGAAGAATCTCGGGAGAGCTTGAAATCAAAGTTGCGGAGCTTATGAGGTTGTACTGTGACAACAAGGCTGCAATTGGGATAGCACACAATCCAATGCATCATGACAGGACTAAGCATTTTGAAATAGATAGACATTTCATCAAAGAGAAGATAGAAGATAAGCTGTTATGTGTTACCTACTTGCCTACAAGTCAATAGACAACATATATTCTTACAAAAGGACTGCCTAAACAGTTGTTTGTTGATCTAGTTTCTAAGCTGGGAATGATAAATATCTATTCACTGGCTTGAGGGGGAGTGTAGGATTTCTATATTAGAATATGGTCAATTTAACAGTTATCTAAGTGTTATCCAGTTTAAGAGATTGAAATAAAAAGATTATCAAGATTTATTTTCTCCCGGTTTCATGTTTAAATCTCTCTATATGAGATTGGGGCCAATTTGGTTTGTAATTCAAAAATAATTTTGAAAAACTAAGTTACAATTAAAAATTTTAAAGTTCTATCTCTAAATTTTAAATATTTTAAAATATATTTTGTATTTTAAATCTCTTTATGAGATTTGGACCAGTTTGGTTTGTGATTCAAAAATAATTTTTAAAAAACTAAGTTACAATTAAAAATTTTAAAGTTCTATCTCTAAATTTTAAATATTTTAAACTATATTTTGTATTTTAAATCTCTTTATGAGATTTGGATCAATCTGGTTTGTGATTCAAAAATAATTTTAAAAAACTAAGTTCTCAATATTTTAAATATTTGAAAATATATTTGGTATTAAAAATTGTTTTTGAAGTTAAAAACTATATAAAGACTGAGAAATGATATTTTTCTTGTTTTCTAATTTTACATTAATTTTTAGGATTATATGCAAAAACATTTCAACTTATTTTAATAAAAACTATTTTCATAAAATTCCTTATATTCCTTATTTTCACAAATAAAACACTATTTAAAACTTGTATATGTATTCATGTTATATTTGTGGTTGTGATTGTCGCTGTTCAGCGCACGAGATTGTGTTAAATTTTAAGTATGGTTGTTGAATGCTTAACTATCAATTTAAGCTTTTAACTCAAGTTGTTACGTAACATTCTTAAAGATGTTACTGAATTATGATACATCTGCTTGGTATTTATTGAATGTATGCAATCCTTGCTATTTTAACTCAATGTGTAAAGATGTTTGTCTTTGTTCCCTTTCTCAGATTACACCCCGCTTGGAAGAGCTGCAACTATTTAGGTTACAGCAGGAAGCCAAATCTGTTCCTGAACAAATAGATCAGAAAGAGAAGCTGCATAAGAAAAGTGCTAGTGGAAAGAGTAAAATAGATTCAAACATGAGAAAAATACAGCCCAAAACCCAAACAAAGTGCATGGGAAAGAGAAGGGACGAGCACATAACTTAGCTAAAGAAAACGAAGTAGAAGAAGCAAAACCTAAGTTTGAATAGCATCCAAATGACCAGCACATCAAAGACTCCACCACTGGAAGAGCCAAAGTATACACTGACGAGTGGACTGCATTTTTATCAAACCTTAACTTCAGGGCAAGTAGAGATTCTCTTGCACTTCAGAGAGAAATTGTTTTTTATTCCTTTTCAATGCTGGACATGCAAATACAGAGAGATAATTCTGATAATTTTAAATTTTTTTTAGGCAACTTCTGGAGATCTGAAAAAATTCATTAGCAATGTTGGTGGGGTTGAATCTATTCGAATTCTTCAGGACAAGTTCACCAGAAAGTCAAGGGTATGACTCTCTTTCTCTTATTCATTATTTGTCAATGTTCTTTGTGCTTTATGCTTCAAATGAAAAAGGGGAAGCTATCCACTGGACCTTCCATGTGCACATCAGTCTTACAGTCAAATCCTTATCTAACATTGTCTGACCTTTAAACTTCAACATATGTATGCATCATGTGGACTGTACCACAGAAATTAGCCCTAAGAAACTAATTTTAATGAGATCGGGAGATAAGTATGGATGATGCTTCAAGGAGATAGAAACTACTAATTGCAGTCCATTCTCTTTGATCAAATTTCTCAAGGGTGCTCACTGAAACTTCAATTTGATTTCTTCCTTTCATGCGGTCAATAAATTAGTTAGTTCTTATGCTTTTGGTTTTAATATGAATGTCCTTTCCAGAGACGATTATGTAGTCTCAAATAAACCTGCAGAAGCGTGGAATTCCATAATTATAGTAAAATTGCTTAATTTTCTTGGTATAAATAGTCTAACTATCTAAGAGCATATTTTTTTCATTTTGCTAGCAAGTGATATGCTTAGGAGACTCAACCATAGTCCCATATAGATTTACCCATATTCCAGCTTGCCTTTAAACTGTAGAGCATATGTATGGGACCGTTGCATACTAATTTATAATATCCTCTAATTGATTTTTGAAAGGCCTCGCATATGTGGATTTTGCTGATGATGCACACCTTGCTGCAGCTATTGGAAAGAACAAAAAAGTGTTTCTTGGGAAGAAGATAAGCATTACAAGATTAAATCTAAAGCAAAAGAGAAAGGATTCTGCTAGTCTTAGGGCCTCTCGAGAACATGGTAGGCTAAGTGGAATTATGTTTTATCTTTGTTATTACTTGTGTGTGTTTGTTTGTGTGCAACGCAGTCTATAGACGTTTGCATGTTTGTGTTTCCCACTTCTACCTTTTATTTTCTTACTCATTTGCGTTAAATGGCAGCACAAAGTAGTAATCAGACTTTTAGGGAGTCTAGAGTGCCACACTGTACTGCTAATAAACATAGTGATGGCATTTAACTGAAGGGGAGGAACACATTTGCAATGCCAAGGAACGTCAGACTACTTGGTGTCCCCTCGACAAATCCAAAAGTCGGGGAAGTGAAAGATGAGAAGCCGAAGTCAAATAATGAGTTCAGAGAAATGTTCCTTAAGAAGTGAGGTTTGTCCCTAGGGTTACATGTTACATGTTAACTAGAATAGCACAATAATTGACAAACTTCTATTTCTTATTAAAAACGTAAGGTTTTGCCTTAATATGTTTCTATAAACATAGTTATGACAAAAGATACCTGTTTGAGGGTGAAAAATTTTTGTGCTATTGAGATCAATCTATATCAGTACCCTTCTTGTAAATTTTCTTCCAGATATGTCAAAGTTTATACCCATTTTATTCAAAAGGGTAAAGTTCTAATATGTTTCCTGTGGAACATACATTTCATCCTATTTGTGATGAGGATAGCCTCAATACCTTACCCCAAGATTCAGAGAAATTTTAGCCAATTAGATGGCGATCAAGTTCCTTTTTATGTGACAAATGACCAATGGTATAGGATCCAACAAGATCATGAAAACTATTATGGGTTGGTGGTCTATTCTTAGTCTAAAATAACATTGAATACTCTAGTGCAACTGTTAAGTTCTTTGCTTTTCTGTACCTATTGATTCTATTCTAGCGGAGAATCCATTTTACTATTTGTCATAGATGAAAATCCTAATGTAGAAAGATGGACTACTAGAGCACTATTTAGTTTGTGTACTGAAACAACAATGGCCTTGCATCTCATGCTTGTGGAAAATGTGAAAAAATGTCTTTGGTTTGAAAAATTTGAAAAAATGTCTTTGGTTTGGAAAATGTCTAAGGAAGAATATCAAGAATATCATTTGTATGCTCGCCCGGTTAAAATTTCCGCACATATATTCATTTTTATTGTCTGTTTTGAATGAATATCCATATCTCATATGATTATGTTTGTTTCACTTAGACTCTTCATGATTCTATTGGATGCTTTCACAAAATTTCTCATAGAATTGAGAATGAGGTTTTTGCTTTGTACATATCAAATCATGAATTAGTACCAATCTTCAAAATATATCTAATTGTTTCACCTTCTATTTTCGGAATGGAATATTTACATAATCCCTATGAATAGGATTAAACATTATTCCATGATATTTGGATGATATTCCTTCTTAATTTTAAGCGAGTACTTGAGACGGTTTAAGTGATTTATGAATTATGTTTCATTTTTCGTTTCTTATATGTACTAAGTCACTAAGTGCGAGATTCCCCCCGGGGACCATTATTAACTTGCTCCCCCATGGGCGCTTTCCCATGTCGCCTCCTAGAATCAACTTGTCTCCTAACTTCACGCCCATGAGTCTCATAGTTGGAATTTGCTAAACCCTTTCTCATATTTGGAAGGGGTATTTATACAAGTTTACACCAAAGGAAGTAGAGAGAAAACTGGGATTGCCATCAGACTTGGTAAACAACTTCGTGATTTTAGTGATTGCGCGTTGGGATCGCACAAATATTGATTCATTTTTATCCCTCCCGAGATGTTCGAGATAAGGTTTATCCCTTAGTCTGTCGAATAGCTGTATTGGATGCTAGTGACGAGGTTATGCTGAGTCAGACTTAAAGATTCCACGACCTTGAGATCACGTCGATCTACTGATTTCAGGGCTACCGAGACTTTTGAGCTTACGACAAAAGTCACACACAACAGATATTAAAGTAGAGGTCATGATTTGAATCTCCCACGTATTACATCTTGCTATATTTGTGTTGTTCTTTCTGTCTGAATTTGGGCTTGGTTTATGTAACATGTGAAGATGCCTCTTATAGAGCTTAATACCTTTTTCAGCTTAAGCTTTTAGGTCAAGTTGTTTATCAACAAAATTGTTATTTAAATTTCATTATAATTTCAATTTCTTGTGGTCTTTCTTGCTTTTAATATAAGTAATCAGTTTATGCATGCTTAAAGTTAAATGTTTTGCACTTAAATAATATTTTTATAAAGGAGATTAAATTAATAGTAATCATTTTGATTAAGCATTATGGAAGTTATAAAAGTAGTTGTGTTCTCAATTGACGTAAGAAAATTTTAATTAATAAGCAAACACTGATTATAAATGTTTAACATTA